TTTTTGCAAATTTAAGATTTTAATTATACATTGTGTCACTTATAATAGATTTTACTCGGGCATCGAGGGAATTAATAGTCGATTAAATGTTGAACTAAATACGCATTCCTCTGCATACCTTAAGCATATCTTCGTAAGTAAGAAATAAGCAGTTGGGATAACTGTCCACTCTCTTACACATCTCTTTGGTATGGTCAAACCAAGAGCCGTAAGGAACTAAAATGAGTGAAATGCACGTTGTTAAATACACATAAATTCAAAATAATGGACATCGATAAATTTCTGTATTTATTTATTTATTTATCTATTGCCTTTTTAGCATTTTTTCCAATGTCTTCAGAGTCGCACCCTGCAAAGCACTGTCAAACGGCCTTTAGACGTGGCAATGAAATATTGGTTACTACTAACATTATTAAGAGCAGTTTTTTAATTCACTAATATCAAAGATTAAATACGGCGAGGTTCACTAGGCCATTTGGAAAAAAATGTTGCAAAGCGCGATCTTAAGTTGTTTAAATGCTTTCTGATCACAGTACTGGTGTATTCCTGACTGATTTATGACTGTCTGTCAGCCATCTTTGAAGAAATTTCCCATAAATCCTTCGATTTGGATTTGCAAATTTAGAACAAGAGAGCATTGCGACTAGCGCCACACCTGGACCCGAGCACCGACAAAGCCCAAAATTCATGTGGATCGAGTTGAGATTATATGTGACCTTCACACAGGAGATGGATACTGGGGCTCTTGTAGTTTAGGAGGAGAAGCGGTAACGGTGACGTGGGGAGCACCCGGTGAACGATACAGCTCTCGACTAAAACCACGTGCACCGCCGGCGCCGCGCTGGCAGTACTATAATTCAGTAGTGCTATTTTGTAAAAAGAACAAAAAACTGTGTAAATTTGTAAAATGTTTTTTACGTTTATTGAATTTTATTTCTGAAACTTTTATAGAAAGTTTTCCATATCTGCAGTATTTCATTGGCCGAGAAATTGCAGCTACACAAATAAATTATTTAACTTATACATCCTTTCATGATTCTTACAGTAGACTGAATAACAATGCTTTACGTAACATTGCCTGTCATGCTCATTACATCAATAAAAAAAGAATATCACTTTATAATATAACCTTATGCAGGTACGTGGAGTGCTTATGAATATTTACTGACAATAGCTCTTCTGAAAATGGACATGAGAAAACACTTCTAGGGGCACTCATACGTTTTACCAAGACCTTATACGTTTTGCCAAGACCAATTAACCTTTCTACATTATTTTTAATGCAACCTGTCCATCTCTAATTAATGTGCCTGGGTCAAGTTGTGACTTGCCCTTTAACATAGAAGGTGTGATTATGGACATCCACTAGTGGGCTTGATTTGGTCTTAAAGTGCAATTTAAGATCACAAATAGTCTAACATGATCTTAAACCATGAGTAAGACCAATTCTGGACTGACAGCCAATTAAGTTGTCTCCCCGTACACATTCTCCTATTGTGAGCAGAGGTGTCCTCTATTGTGAGGGGAGGAAACTGCTTAACCATTCAAGTAGATGTTAGATTATTTTGATCTTAAAAGCAGATTCAGTCCAATTAAGACTACTGCTGTAATGATTAAGATCTTTTAAGATCATTTGTGATATTAAATTGCACTTTGAGACCAAATCCAGCGCACTAGTGCTCCCTTCCAGCAAACAAATCTTGAACCATTATATCCCTCTGTCAGCCATTTTGCTGTCAGCAGCGGTTCCACAGGATGAACTGGGTTCGATGATCTGTCTGTCACAACTGCTGTTGATTTCAAACATCAATAGTTACCTGCAATATAAATCAAAACTTTAAAGTTTTCTTGCAAGGCACGCAATATTTTATCATTCACTTTCAGCATCAAGAAAATATGTATTGATCATGTTTTACTAGTTAGGCCCAGGCCTACTTGTCTTTAGTTAGGTAGCCACAATCCAATAAAGGGAAGCCAATCGTGGATTAAACCTAATCAATCAATGTGACAGTCAAGCATGGATATACATTACATTAAATTACATTATAATGGAAGTGCAGATGATGGGTTCGTGGACTGGGTTACATGCCTATGCGTCCCCGCACCGATACTCCCCCACAATTACAGATATACTGAGGGGGAGTATCGGTGCGGGGGAGTATCGACATGACCCCGTGGAACTGCAGGTGAGCATTGACCCTTTCAAAGACAATAAATGCGTACAATTTCTTGGGCCCCTTAGTTTCTCCCTACAAGTACATTTAAATCTCTTATTGGTGAAGATTATGTTAGATAATAAACAGCATATTCTTACCAGTAAATGTCTTTTTATATTCAGAGGGGTGGGGTGCTTCACACACACGACACTGTACCGACCTGGATTCCAAAGGCGTTTTTACCTATGCGCAGACGCGATTAATGTCCCCTTTCATTTCAAACGAAGCCCTGAATCTTTAGGAAAATTATGCCCACCTTGACGACTCTGGCAATCAGGTACACAACAATACTGAGGCATGTTTAGTATGAACAGTGGCGCAGTCCCACGTGTATTATTACCAAAATGGCGACTGTAGAATTCACACAAGCTACACCTGACGAAAAGGGGGCTGTTATACCCTATTTATATCTTACCCTTCCCTTGTGTGAAAATTGGAAAGTACGATTCCCATGGGCCACTGTATTCAAATTTCTTTAAGCCTTTCAGGAAGTTATAATATGACACAGCCACGTCTTTCGGATTCCTGGTAACTAGGATGATCTTGATCTGCTTGCTCCACACATCTGGCGGCAGGAGGTGTATGGGCAGGTGACTCGACAAGATCCTGGGAGACGCCATTTTGGCAAAATCCTCTTGGTCGAGCATTTCAAGGTACATCGAGTGCATGCTGGGGTCATCCGTGCTGTTGTTTTTGACCATGCTTACTACATAATATATCCACCGTGTACCTAGAAACAGTGACAGCTTTAACGAAAACCCATATAGGCTATTTATTATTTAAAATCGACTGTGATTTCGATTTCGCCTTGCCCTAGGCGAATTTTAAATCTGCGTGGATTTCAGTGTGCCCCACGGCGTAAAAATCGTACAATTATGTAGGCCCTACTGTTTATCATTATTATACATTTCAGATGCATCAGCCCTTTACTTACCTGATTTAGGGTACGTCAAAAGCAAAATATCATCCTTTCTGCATTCAAACGTACCCAAGGTTTCCAAACGAGGGACTATTCCAGGGAAAAGGGGAAAATACATCCCTCGCCACTCTATCACGTTATATTCATGGCCTCCAGCATCTTTGACTCGAATTTCCGCCATTTTAAAGCAGTGGTGCAGGGTAAATAACGTTTGAGCGTCCCCTTTTTTGGCCAAGTTACCTGTTGTTTACTGGTATTGAGGTGTCACTGCGTGCTTTACTAGCGTTAAAATCAATAGGAATAATAGTATTTATATGAAATGGTCCTACCCATCTCTATTTAGACACCAAATAGAATCATCATTTTTAAAGTGACTATAATCCATTTATACACGTCACATCACAATAAATAAATAAGTAATGGGCTTTCTACATCCTTTTGTTTCGATTCTTGTGAGCAAACCATTCATTGTTACATGTGCGTATGTGTAAAACAACTTTGTAGGATAAAAATCATTGAACTTGCTTTATGTATGGACATATTAGGGCAAGTACAAGAAATCAACAACCATTCGTTAAAAGAAAACATTTAGGCCTACCTTATTTGCTCTGTTCACAAGATTTCAGTAAATCTATCATATACAAGTTAAAATGTAACTTATTACTGTCATATCGATTATGATTGTTAAAAATCCTTCATTTGATGCCCCAGATGTAAACTTACTTTTTTTCATGTCCTCGTACGTCAGAAACAAGCAGTTAGGATTGTCGTTGGCTGCCTCAAACCATTTCTTGTTCTCAAACCATGAACTTCCCGCAACTTGAATAGATAAATAAACAAATAAATAAACACCTGTAAAATTCGCACATAGATCATATCAGATCTTTTTTTTTTTACAAAAAAACCGCTTATGGCAATAATTATGACAATCAATATTATTCTTTACCTTTTCCTTGCAAGAAAAGCGAGAAAAATCCGTGCGAAGTCATTTAGTGCCACTGTAATCATGCAGTTTACAAGTTACAAGCGTTTGTAAAGGCACAGAAGGACGCGGCCACATCTTTCGGGTTTCTGCTGACAATGATAACCTTGATGTTCTTCTTCCATGCATCCAGTGGCACCAATCTCTTCGGCATGTGTGTAATCAAGATTCTTGGTGACGGCATGTCGTTTATGACGTTTTATCAAAGGTTTCAAGAATTTTGACTTCGTCATAATGCTCACTTACATTTAGTGTCGGCATTATTGTGTTCCTATTAATTCAAGCAAGAAAAAGTGTTGTTCTTAAAGAGGTCGCTGTATATGTGAGAATTATGCACAAATATGGTCGGTAGCAAAGTTTTGGATGTTGGCAAATAGTGATGCTAAAATTTTAAAGTCCAAAAATCAACGAAATATAGATTTGGAAATGACACTGAACATTAGGCTTTTCCGCTAGGACGGCATACATAAACGCAGATGTTTATGTTGGTGTTGTATATTATCTAAAAAATACTAAGTATAACAGTAGTGATCATGATGTAGTGCCTACATGGTCCCATATACATCTCACATAGTGTACGCGTGTCGAACACGTTAAAATCCCCGCTCGACCTCTTCATTCTCCCCCTCCCGAACATCCACCCCCTCCACAACACACGCACACACACACTCACACAGGCTCCGTATCGAGGTATAGAATGGTATCTGAGATATCACATATTGAAAAGCAACACAGCATTTAGGATATGTGCACAGCAGTACGTCGTCAGGTCTGAACTCCAGTGTCCCAGTGGCGTTTAGTCGGGGGCCTATACCGGGAAACGCGGGAAATATACTCCTCTCCATTCCACCAAAGTCATGCGTCTTCAACACACACAGTTGTCATGTCTGCCAATGAATTAATTCTTACAAGTACATTACCTTGCTATTTATAGGGCCTTTTTCTTGAATATACAGGACAAAACGGGCGCGTATAAGGGCAGATTCAGTTGCACGCTCTGGCGTATATCACTATCTGTATTCAATTTTTATTCATATATTTATTATATCGATATTCTGCTGTGTTGATAAAGGAGCAATATTAAAAATACTTAAAGACATACGATTCAGTAATCCTTTTATTTGCAATTTTAATGTTTGCGCAAGGTGAAGGTTTTGGAATCATACACCCCATTTCCATAGATTAGATCGACCTACTTTAGATCGACCTAACTCCCTTGGGGTTCATGCTAAATAGCTGTCAGCCGGGCGGACACGAAAGCTAATTACCCCCTTACAGCTTGTAATAGGCGGGACGGACATTTAGGTCGGATTATCTGAAAGTAATCTAGTGAGACTCCCCGCGGGGATAGATCGATCTAAAATCTATGGGAATAGAGCCTTAGACTGCATTCCCACAGATTTAGATCGATCCATCTGGATCGACCTAACTCCCTGGGGGTTCATGCCAAGCGCACACAGCCGAGCGCGCACAGAAGTTAATTACCCCTTTACAGCTTTTAGTAGGCGAAACCGACATTTAAGCCGGCTAAGCTGAAAGTAATCTAGTAAGACTCCCCACGGGGATAGGTCGATTTAAAATCTGTGGGAATGCAGTCTTACTGTATTTTTATCATCTTCGGTAGCATTTGTCGCATTAGGCGTTCTGACTTAAGCTTTATAAGGCATTTTAATTTATGCAATCATGGACACAGTTAATACAGTCCCCAAGTTAAGCCGAAGTTACAGCATGGTGTATTCCAGGACCCACCTATGAAACAAATTCACAAACCGTTATTTTCCCCTCTCAGTTATGGTATTCTTTATTCCAGCCTGACGACGTATGTGGTTTGTTACCACTCGGTTTGTTACTTTTATTTGACTTATTTTAATTCTTTTTTTTTTTACCAAAGTTGGTTTGTTCGATTCCATGAATTCCTGATTTTGTTATTACCCTATTCCGAAGCTAGCACAAAAACTAGCAATATAGCCACTGCTTTTTAGTTAGCCACAGTAAATTATTTATGCAGAACATCAAAAGGCAAATTTTATGTTGTAGTCCTTTTGGCATCTTGTCAAAATGTAGGGTCAGCTTTTGATAAGTTTATGTTAAAAATTAAAATTTATGTTACAAATTTTGATGCATAATTTCATTCCCCGCCAGCGAAACTATCCTGGTTTTCTTTTAGAGCACCTAATGAATTAAAGTCTTTGTTTTATGATATCTTTTTTTCAAGATCATTCGAAAACTACTCTAGATTTGAGGTCAGGGGGTGCATCCGACATCTTGGCATTGTAGAGCTCATCAAACTCTTCATTCTGGGCCACTGTGAACCAGTTCTTCCAGTCGGCAACTTGACCTGAAATACAAGAAATGCGTCGCTGCTTTAGTATATCTTTCAACAAATAAAGAAAGAATGTCACTCCTGAGTGTGATGTTCTATTATACTTGAGGTGTCAATTTACCTCTCTTAAGATAAGTCGCACAACATTTTAAGAAACACTGTGATATGAGGTTAGACTAGACTCCTTTCACAAAGAGCGGTTCACGTATCTGGGTAGATCCACTGAGACTTAGAATTGATTTTGAGAATTCATTTTGGCGAAAAAAGTGCCATAAAGTGAATTTTCCTGGAGTAAACGACAATTTTGTTACACTTTCCAATAGTTACTGAATCTGTTCCGACATTCAAAGCTGGTCGATTTTTTAAATGTGTTTTTGTAATAATCTTTTAAGAAATTATTACTGATGGAAGCCATCTGTGAAGGTCCAAGTTGTATATTTTGTTTAAAGTGTATTAATTGTGGAATTTTGAATCTCATATTAAGAGTTATCCCTTTAAAGATGGTAACCTAAATAGAGCTCCCGCTTGTCTAATTAATTTATTGATAAAACAGCAGGAAGAAAACATGCCGAAGACGAATGAGAGGGAGTAAGACACACCCCACATTTTATATAGACTGGTCCAGTTAGTAGATGATAAAATAAATTGGAAGAAGAAACCGACAATTCACATGTAAACTGAAAGATATGTAATCAAAAAGAGTATTCACAAACCTTTTCTAAAAAATCTGTGACCATCCTTCAGATATTTATTCAGTCCTCCAGCTTCTTCTGATCTTTTCATCGAAGAAAATGTGCATTTCTGCGCTACTTCCTCCAAAAATGCGTCTGATCGTTCAAATCCAAGAAAGGAATTGATTTTTTTCACAGCAGCTGGTAAATCCTGTATAAAAATAGTGCAATTAAGCAAAGCGACCATCGTATGAAAATAATTACAAATGACTTGTTATGTTCTGATGCTGCATTTTTATACGAGATTTTGTAAATTATTCGTTATAGCATATTGCAACTCTGAGGAACAGTGTTAGCTTGTGACGGCAATCCGCAGAATCTTTACCACTACAATAATGTAATTGAAAAATGCTGTTCCCATACCTTCTTGCAAATTAAAAAATACTTTTGATTGTACACCGTGTCACTTATAACAGATTTAATCGGGAATAGACGGAATTAATAGTCGATAAGGTGTTGACCTAAATACGCAATTGTCTGCATAATCGGGAATAGAAGGAATTAATAGTCGATTAAGTGTTGACCTAAATACGCAACCGTCTGCATACCTTAAGCATTTCTTCGTAAGTAAGAAATAAGCAATTGGCATTACTGTCCACTCCCTTGCACATCTCTTTGGTATGGTCAAACCAGGAGCCGTAAGGGACTAAAATGAGTGAAATGCACTTATATCCAAAGTAATGGCAATTGAAAAAAGGTTGAGGTCGAATATTTTATTTATTAATTTATTTATTTCGTAAAATATCTTTTTCGAAAATTTTCAAATGTCTTCAGAATGTCGTACTCTGCAAAACACTGTCGAAACGGCCTTTAGACGTGGGAATAAATTATTGGTTATTATTAATATTATTAAGCGCACAGTTTTTTAAATTAATTGATATCCAAGTTCACTAGGACAAAAAAGTTGCAAAGCGCGATATGAAGTCGTTTAAATGTTTTCTGATCACAATGCTCGCGTATTCCTGACTGATTTCAATTTATATCTTACCCTTTCCCTGCGTGAAAATTGGAAAGTACGACTCCCATGGGCCAGTGTATTCAAAATCCTTAATGCCTTTCATAAAGTTATAGAATGACACAGCCACGTCTTTGGGATTCCTGGTAACTAGGATGACCTTGATCTGCTTTCTCCACACATCTGGTGGCAAAAGGTGCCTAGGCAGATGACTTGCCAAGATCCTGGGAGACGCCATTTTGGCAAAGCCCTCTTGGTCAAGCGCTTCAAAGTATATCGAGTCCATGCTAGGGTCATTAGTGCTGTTGTTTTTGACCATGCTTACTATTGAATATATCCATCGCGTACCTAGAAACAGTGTTTGATAGCTTTAACGAAAAGCCATATGTTTATTATTCAAAATTGACTGTGGCTTGATTTCACCTTGCCCCAGGCGAATTTAAAATCTGCATGGATTTCAATCTGGCCTGCGACATAAACATCATACAAGTACATTATTCATCATTATTATAGATATCAGATGCATCAGCCCTTTTGGCCATAATACTTACCTGATTTAGGGTACGTCAATAGTAAAATATCATCCTTTCTACATTCAAACGTACTCAAGGCTTCAAGACGAGGTACTATTCTAGGGAAAAGGGGGAAATACATCCCTTGCCACTCTATCACGTTATATTCATGGCCTCCAGCATCTTTGACTCGAATTTCCGCCATTTTGAGTGTCCCCTTTACTGACCCGATAAGGGTTCTTAATCTGTTGTTTATTGGTATTAAGGTGTCTCCGCGTGATTTACTAGCTTTAAAATCTATATCAATGCAACTTATCGGAATTGATCCTTTTCATTTTTATCTAGACATCGAAGTGATTCATCATTTTCAAAGCGACAGAAATTCATTAATTCACATTTTCTTCACATTGCAATAAAGAAAGAAAGAGTAAAGAAAGAAAGAAAGAAAGAAAAGAAGAAAGTTGCTGGGGTAAAAGGCGACCTAAGTCGGCAATGTCATGTTTCGCATAAAGGCCTATATTTCGAATTCAACGCCACATATACCTTATAGCATTAATATACAAGTTATTTATGAAAAGGCAATATCATACAAAAGGAAAATTTATGTTGTAGTCACATTTGGCATTTTGTTGAAATATGGTGGTCAGTTTTTGATAAATTTATATTCGAAGTTTGGTGCATTATTACATTCTCCGCCTGTTAAACTATCTCGGTTTTCTTTTAGAGCAATTAATGAATTAAAGTGTTTGTTTTTATGATATTTTTTTTCAAGATCATTCGAAAACTACTCTAGATTTGAGGTCAGGAGGTGCATCCGCCATCTTGGCATGGTAGAGCTCATCAAACTCTTCATTCTGGGCCACTGTAAACCAGTTCTTCCAGTCGGCAACTTGACCTGAATTACAAGAAATGCGTCGCTGCTATATTATTTCTTTCGACATATAAAGGATATCACTCCTGAATTATTTAATAATATTTTAAGTGTTCATTCCCTTCCATTCAGATAAGTGTTCCTCTTGGCGCCAAAAGGAACTCCATCTTAATGGTAACAGGGGACTTAGAACTAGAAGAAAAGCCATAAACAGACAAGTAGATGCACAGATAATCAAAAAGAGCATTCACAAACCTTTTCTAAAAAATCTGTGGCCTTCTCTCATAAATTTATTCGGTTCTCTAGTTTCTTCGGATCTTTTCATCGAAGAAAATGTACATTTCTGCGCTACTTCCTCCAAAAATGCGTCTGATCGTTCAAATCCAAGAAAGGAATTGATTTTTTTCACAGCGGCTGGTAAATCCTGTAAAATAGTGCCATTAAGCAAGCAGCCATCATCCGAATATTTTCAATAACTTGTTATTTACTGAGACTGTATCTATATAAGAATTTGTAAATAATTTGTAATAGTATTTCTAAAATCTGCAGAACAGCGTGGTATTTTGTGACGGCAATCCGAAGAATCATTACCACTACATTAATATTACTGATAAATACTGTTCTAAGACCCTGAAGCAATCTTTCATAACTTTTTAATTGTGCATCGTGATATATAAGATATCACTTGAGAATAGAAGGAATTATTTGTCGATTAAGTGTTAAGCACACATAGACCTGAATACATAGCCATCTGCATACCTTAAGCATTTCTTCGTAAGTCAAAAATAAGCAGTTGGGAATGCTGTCCACTCCCTTGCACATCTCTTTGGTATGGTCAAACCAGGAGCCGTAAGGGACTAAAAATGTATTAAATGCACTTCTTCAACTTAACATATATCCATAGTTATGAAAATTGCAAACATGACGACCAAATATTTTATTTTTATTTTCTCGCTCATTTTAAATTGACTTCAAAATGTCTAACCACGCAAAACACTGCCGAGAAGCATTCAGGTAACAGAATGTATAATTGAAGAGCATAGTTTTTTAATTCATTGACATTCAAAATTAAATACGCCAAGGTTCACTGGGCATTTAGAAAAAATTACAAAGTGCAATCTGAAGTCGTATGTGTTATGTGTTTTCTGATCACAAGGCGCGCCCATTCCTAACCAATTTCACTCCACATCTTACCTTTCCCTTGTGTGAAAATTGGAAAGTACGATTCCCATGGGCCAGTGTATTCAAAATTCTTTTTGCCTTTCATGAAGTTATAGAATGACACAGCCACGTCTTTGGGATTCCTGGTAACTAGGATGACCTTGATCTGCTTTCTCCACACATCTGGCGGCAGGAGGTGCCTGGGCAGATGACTTGCCAAGATCCTGGGAGACGCCATTTTGGCAAAGACCTCTTGGTCGAGTTTTTCAAGGTATATCGAGTCCATGCTATTGTCATCAGTGCTGTTGTTTTTGATCATGCTTACTATTGAATATGCCCACCGTGTACCTAGAAACAGTGTTGGACAGCTTTAATGAAAAGTCATATTCGATTAAGTTTATTGTTCAGAATTGACTTTGACTTTGATTTCACTTTCGCCTAGGCAAATTTAAATTTCCATTGATTTCAATCTGGCCTGTGCCATAAACACCATACAAATACATATTATTCATCATCATTACAAATTTCATATGCATCAGCCCTTTAGGCCGTAATACTTACCTGATTTAGGGTACGTCCATAGTAAAATGTCTTCCTTTCTACATTCAAACGTGCCCAAGGCTTCCAAACGTGGGGCTATTCCAGGGAAAAGGGGGTAATACATCCCTTGCCACTCTATCACGTTATACCCATGGCCTCCAGCATCTTTGACTCTAATTTCTGCCATTTTAAATCAGTAATGCGGACTTGATAATTCGCAGGGAAGGTACCATTTAAGCGTCCCTTTTAGTGACTTGTTGCCTCGTGATAAGGGTTCTTATCTCTTGTTTATTGGCATTGGGATGCAATCACAAGATTTACTCGTGTTTGTAGCAATAATAATAATAATATGACTTATCTGAAATGGTCGCACAGATGTCCCCATCTTTATGTAGACATAAAAGAGAACAATCATTTTCAAGTGACTAAAATCACTTAATACACATTTTCTTCACAACGCATTAAATAAATAAAAGGGAAAAGATGCTCGGGATTCTACATAATTCCATCTGGTGAGCACAACACTTATGGTTACATGTATATCTAACGTATTTAGTGCCAAATAAAACGACATTTGCTTACAAGCATCTACAAAATGATTTTATACTCCAATGAAGGCACTCATTAAGGAACAAAATAATTGTTCTACTGTAATCTCGATTTTCGGATAAGGGTATAAACCTTTCTAAAAGGCTATTATGGTGCTTTTTCTCCCTAACTTTTATGGTTAGAAAAGACCACACCACATTACACATTTAATATGAATCAATTATTTTAACTATTAAAAAATATTAACGACTCATTCACTTCACGTAGATAGCATGCACCCCAAACAAGGTCGGGGATAAGAATAATGGATTTCACCCGCTGTATTAACACAGAATAGGAAGCGGTTCCAAAGTCCCAAAAGCCAAATTAATATAAAACAGCTCAAATATCCGTAGCTGATATAAACAAATAAAATGGAAAAAGTTGCTGGGGCTTCTACGTCATTTTGATTCTGCTGAGCAAATTACTTATGGTAACCCCCCCCCCGCCTGAGGGTCCCCGAAAATTTGGTATTTTAGAGGGCGAACGGTGCCATTTCGTACGGTATAGAACTATGATTCAACTAGTCAAAATTCTTAATTCTAGAGTCGACCTTTGGTGTGATTTTTTTTAAGAAATCGAAGGAGGGGTCAGCCCCCCCCCCCTGACACACACACCCCTCTCTAAATCCGCCACTTGTACATATAATATGCATAACGAATTCGTCGAAGGAGAAATGAATTATGGTATTTCTCGCTTTGTGGGAATTTTTAGGGCAAATAGACGAACACAAAAGCCAGACGTTAAAAATAAACATTTATCTTTTGAGATTTGTTCACAAAATTTCATGGAAGTAATGCCTTTTTATTTAAAAAAATTAAAGTCAGCTTTCCCCGCTGGCTGTGTGAGAAAGGCCAAGAAATTTTAAGGGTATTATTCAAATACTATTCTGGACTTGAGTTCCGGAGGTGCATCGGCCATTTCTCGGTTGTATAGTTCATCAAACTGTTCGTTTTGTGCTACTGTGAACCAGTTCTTCCAGTCTGCGACTTCTCCTGTAATAGAACCAGTAGATAGAGCATGAGATAGTGACCGAACCTAGAGAAATTTACAGGGAAGCCATCCACATCAAGAAGACAGGGGCCATTCTCAACAGAAATGATGGTGCCATCCTCCCTGGCCACTGCCTCTCTTTCCTAAGAAAATAGGTGTGTTCGTTGTGTGTGTGTGTGTGGGGGGGGGGG